TAAAGAAGATGTTATATGGAAAGTTCGTTGCTGAACGTTAATGATTGTAGGTTGTCAAGTTGAAGATCTCATTCATGAAATTGAGTGGGAGCTATTACTTGGAAAATAAATCCTAAATCACAAATAATCCATGAAACTCTCAAATTTTATCATCTTATTATGAAAGTGATCAGTAATGAAGATGCTAAGATTAGCAAAGTAATTATAACTTAACCTATGCAATAAGTGAACGACGACATTTACAATTGCACGAAAGAAATCAAGCGTATTAGATATGGGTGTCATTTCTATAAATATTTTATAAAGAGTGTTACTCTTAAAACATTCGGAAAAAAAAAAATTATTATAAGATGAACCATTTAGGCTTTGGAGTAATTTAATATTCAACCAATTTTATCACTCCGTTTGCTATTTAATTATGGGTTAAGATTAAATAATGAGTCCATTCGATTCTGAGAATTTTCAAAATAGGGTATCAAGACTATTCTTGATAAGGAAACACCTATTCAGTGAACATTGAATATTATAATCGAAAATTATCCCTAATGGAGGTCATTTAAACGATGGACGATTAATGACCACTTGAGATTAGTGTGTAGTTTGATTTATAGCACCGTTTCTTGTGCTACAAGGACATGATTGTCATAAATTATTTGTACAGGTATTGGTTTGGAACCATACTGGATCAACCTATGAGAATACTTTAAGAGATTTAAAAATCGTCATTAGTATACTTCTCATTATGGCTATCAGAACCTATTTCCTCGACCATGAGTATTGTGAGTTCTCTTATTTAAGTACTAGTCCGCTTTGATGTTAGTCAAACGTCTGCCGTAAAAGGGAATTATAACGGAAAAACTTGGGCGGCTAGCTCCTCTTAGTAAGAGAACCTACATTACAAGACTAAAAAGGCCCCCCTACTAAAATATAGAAGATGTCTTTGTTGTTTACAAGGCCTCTCGAAGAGCGAGAGTGTGAAAATGCATGTCCTTAATTGGATGGATTTTAGAAATCATCTGTTTATTAACAGTCAGACTTGGGATCGAGAAACACTTCTGGACATAATAAGGATGACAAATAAATCTTACCTTATAGTTCATGAAGAGACATTAAGTGACATAGGAAAAGGTTATACGCTAAAAGTGCACTTGTCCGGAAGGACAAGTGGGAGATTAATAGAAATGGTGTCCTTCAAACAAGTGTATTATTTTGATAGAGGGTTTGAAATTATTAGAAAGCTAATTATTCAGTGAGGTCAAGTGATCGAAATGCCTAGGTGGAGATCGCTTCCGATTAGTAATATTAATGAGTAATTAATATTACAGCTTAATCTTGATTGAACCCTTCGGATCACACCCAAGCAACTAACGAACCAACACGACAAATTAATTCGGAAGGAATTAATGAGTCGCTCGAGTATTGTGAGCAAAGACATCGGATTCCGATCTTAGAGTGTTGGAAACGAATCTTAAAATTCAAGCCAAAATTTAGGAATTGACGAGACGAGAAAATGCTTCAAGTAACAAGTAAAAACCCTAGTCGCGTGAAAGGCTAAGGAAGCGCGCCACGTGGCAGCCACCATGGTGATGCCACGCCAAGGTGGCAGCACACCACGTTGACAGCCACCAAGTGGAAACGCACCACGTGGCAGCATGCCACGTTGGCAATGCCATGTGCCAATGGGTCGCGGACCCGGGTGGCGGGTCTTGGACGCAGGCCAAAAGGTGGTGGCCCAATCGAACCCAACTTGGGGCTCAAGGCTGGGTGCCACATGGTCAGCTCACAATGCATGTGAGTTACCTTGGGGAGCAAGTGAGGAAGTGGTCCTCACCTAACCATGTGAAACTTATTACTTTGTTATTCCTTGGTTTATTTAACTAAGGATTGAATTCAACATTCTTTCCATGTGGGATCTTTTTGTGAAAAAGTCCCACATTGAAAGATGAGTGGAATTAACAAGGAAACACTCCTTATAAATAGCCAAGGCATAGCGTGGGATTGTTCACTTGAGTAAGGTGTTTAAAAAGGAATCTTCATTGAGAAAACCTTTAAACACATATAATTACTCCGGTTTAGACCAGACTTAGCTAACCTCTAAGCATTGGACCATTGTCGGGGTCAAGTTGCGGGTGGACTTCCGTTGGAGGTCTTCGTGCGAGCGAGACATAGAGCTTTCGAAGTAAGAGCTCTTGTTGAGAGCAAAGCACGCGTTAAAGGTATTAATCTTATCTTAATTCTTGTTGTTTAAGTTAGTTATGCTTTATGATTATATTAATTTTGAGTGTGTTTTTGGCTCGGATTCATCAAAACCCAACAATCTGTTATGTTGAAATTGTTAGGTTTTTGTTGTGTTTTACACAATGAAATTATTGGATGTGTTATTGTTAGGCTTCTGTTTATCTATTGGAGTTGGATTAAGGACTTTTAAGGAACAAGGGACTATGATTTGTGAGGCTGGTGTTTGCTTTGCTGAGTTAGATTGGTTGTTTGAAGTTACTGATGTTCTAAGTGATCATTTGTTGTAGAAAACTCTGCCTGTCCCTAGGGGTTTGTGATAATGTTCAGTTATGTGCATTTAAGAGTTCCAATTTCCTGTTTTATGATACACTCAAGGTGTTGAGTCCCCCTTCTTGCTTACAAAAACCCTTGAGTGCTTTGTTATTGGCCCATATGATGAAGGGACTCCATTGAATTTCACTTCAAACATGAGTATTGCTCTAATAATTTCTTGTTTGAGATTGTTGTTGTATTAAAAAACCTTTAAGAACTTCTGATAGATTTCTTTCTCATACCAAAAAAAACTTTTTCATATTCATTGCATTCATAATATGAGTACAAAAGGTCATGAACAAGATCAAAGAAAGTTACATTTGGCTGCCTTACATGTTTGCTAATTATAAATCAACAAAATACACCTAACCACCTATTCAAGAACAAAAAACTTAAACTAAAAACTTAGATAAAGAGTTAAGTGGTTATGTGTCGCAGTCCATGTTGTTCATGTGCTTTTAGGTACTTGGTTGGAGTCCCCTAGTCTGCATCAACCTCCATATCTTTTGTTGCTTCTTGAGTCATCTGATTTGCTGGCTTAAACGTAGTGTTTAGGTATCCCACATTTTCCATAACTATTTCCTTCTCCACCTATACCTCATCATGCAGAATTCTTAAATTTTCAAGCTTCTTTTTGTTTATGTGAGGAATTTTGTACTTGTTTCCTCCTTCCGCCTACAGTATTTAGATCATACAGTTTTGCAATGTGACCCAAATGTACTTGTTCACCTCAGGTTTGAATGTGTCATAAGACTCAATGACCTTGTCAACTAGCTTATCTAGTGTAACACCCCCTATTTACTAACTAATAATAAACAATAAATAAATGAAAAATAGACAACCTTTAAATAAAACTATGGAAGCACACTCCTAAATCGGAGGTATCACCGCCACACTCAACAACCTATCAAGTGTTAAGGATTACAAAAATCCCAATAATTACAACCCAATAAATCTAAGTGAGCTATTTGTACAACTTTATAATACCGTTATAGCATACTAATCGATCACTTGAGCTCCATTTAGCTACGATCACTTGATCAAACCTGTTTATACAAAATTGACTGCTCACCATTAAGGACAAATTCCAAAATAGATCGTCGCAGGGCTACCATAAGAAAAAGACATGGCCGCAAACACAAGTAGCACAACAAAACAATACACACACGTCAGCAAAAAGCTGAGTAATCATCACATATCAGAATACAAAGAATAATATAATAATTAAAATTACTAGATCAATTAAACAATGTAGTTCAGAACTACATTACACATTGTACTCTGAAAAAAAAAATAACCTTTATCAACTCAACCTCGAATAATAATACAATCCTTCACTCAATTAACTCGTAACCAATAAGTGTGTCACGCTCTTTGTTTTATACCTAACCTTGGACATGGGTATTCAAATAACAAACCAACAAGTATAAAAACTTGAATACTCTCAATAACCAGAAAAGCACCTTAAACTAGACCACACGGGCCAATTTCCATTGTAGGGGACCATATAAAAAAAAATAATAAAGATTGTGCCTCATTCTTAACTCATGATTATCATCCGCTTACCAACATGCCAAGGAATAGGGTATACAACGTTGAGCCTCAAACCAAGTACAAAATAATAATTCCTCAACCTTTTGATCTCATACATTGATCAAATAATAATTCACAAATTAATTTATAATATCTCAACAATGGCACGGTTCCCAAATAACATAACAATTCGATTCATAAATATCTCAACTCTTAGGAAAATAAAACTAATACCCAAATATAATCAACTCACAACTCAAAAATAATACTCTGCATTAATAACTCTAAAACCTCGATAAAACAATACTCCCTATAGAAACAACATTAAAACCCTAAAAATAATTACACAATCAATATATACAACAAAAATAATATGATAATCAAATCAAATCAAATCTTACAATATCATAATAATTAATCATATATAAAAGGAGTACCATTAATAAATCATATCACACATAATAATACAAAATATCAAACATGTCCAAAGTTTCGTGTGATTACCTTTCCGGAACAATTAAACAAATATTATAGCAAAGTATTGCACTAACTTTCGACTCCTGACTTGCGATTCACGCCGACATAATACGTGAGGCTTGGATACTTACGGGAGAAATAATTGATAAAGTTTGGTGGAAGAATCATGAGAATAATCAAAAGGCTCAAGGTTTATTAAGAGAATAACTTGGCTTGTTTGATTATAAAGCGTAAGGTCTGCTATTTCAACATAGAGAAACAAACGGCAAAAAGGATTAAGGTTAATAATGTTATTATGAGATAATTATAATAGGGTTTAAGACTTTCCAAACTCTAAATTAAAAATATGAGATTAAGAAAGTTTTTTAATAAATAAAAATAAACTATTTTTTATTTATAAAATATATTATATAAAATCATAAAATATTCGGGTATTACATCTAGGTTGCTAGGAAATGATTGATACTGTAATGACTTAAAGACCTAAATAAGCCTAAATCCAGCACATTCAAGTCTGGTGACTGTGCTGGTTGTAAAACAAGCTGAATGATAAACCCATTTGTTGTTGCTGCGGCAATGAACTCTTCATCTTTAGGTATCTCATGTGGTCTTGCATTATCCCATTGAATTGTGACATTTTTTGCTAGACTTTCTGGCCATTTAAAAATAATTGCTGGTATGACCTTTGTGAGCAACATCTCCCTAATCACCTCTCTGTTCACATTTTGGAGTGCCTTGGTCACCAAGGTTCCTGCAGGTCTGTTTTTGCTTGATTTCTTAGCTCTTTCCTTCACTATGAATGGGAATACGCCATACTTCCCATCATGTAGTAATGCCCCATTTCTGTCATACAAAGGCTTTCTAATAACTGCCATGAACATTGCCTTAACTTTGAATCTTCTTGATTGTTGTGCCCTATATGGCTCTTCTTCACTTGGAAGGAGATAAAATCTCCTCTTGTGAGGTTTGAGATAGAACCATTTCTCATCTATGTCGATGACATGGTTCATGTCATCAAAAGTGGGGTCCTTATTTGTTGTGATTGGATTTATGTGTGACATGACCCATTTTAGTCTTGCAACTTTGTGGTTTGATGTGAGTGCTGGCTTGTTACTACTTGTGTGTGTTCTTAGCCTGTCTTTTTTCTTCAAATTGTGAAGAGTAACATGATAAATCCTCAGAGCAGCTGCATAACTTCTTTCTGTCTGCCTAAGATGCAGAGGCACTGATTGAAAGAATTCATCAGAGAATTTCCTTAGTTTAGGACTAGTTTTACCAAACTTTTTTTTATCTTGACATCAATCATATTATCTTATTCCAACTGCTTTTTTATGTCAGTGAAAACCCTTGTAATTGTTGACTTGTGAACACTAAATTGGAAGGACAATTGATGCTTGTAACCTCTCGGTACAATGCCATTTTGCATCTTAATTAACATTGCATCAATAATTCCCTATTCTTTTGCAAAGTAAGTTGTTTTAGACTTGAAACTTCAGCTCAATTTTCTTGCATTTGTTGGTTTTGATCTTGTATACCATGTTGCCCAATATCTTCATTTTCTTCTTCTTGCATTGCTTCATTTTCTGAATCATAATCCTCCATGCCATGGTCTTGCATGTCTTCTTGGTAGTCATAGTAAAGTTCTGCCAATTCTTCCTCACTTATCAATTGATCAACATCGAAAAACACACCTTCATCCATTTCTTCCATGTCTGCTGTTTTGATTTTTTTTTTGTTTGTTTTCGGATCAGGGTTAGGCAAACAGGGCTGGCTTTAGCCTTTTTTTTTTTGTGGAGAAGGAGCTGCCCTGTTGGTTTTTGTGGATGGTGAAGGTCTCAAGCCAATGAAGCTTCTCAGTTGTAAAGATGTGCAACACTAATTGTAGCTAGGGGATTTTTTTTTGTGGGTATTAATGGGCTAATTAAGTGTATTTAGTGCTATCTTTTGGAAAACGTTGTTATCTTTTGAAAATACTCATGGTTTGTAAATTTACGATGAACATTGAATGCTAGGAGCTAATGGAGGTTGGTTTTTATATGCCTCTTTAATAAAGAATATATATATTTTTTATAGGGGGAAATGAAGAATGTTTGATGTTATTCATGTTAAAACAAAGTGAGGAAAAAAAAAAGCTAGATGATTGTTTTTTTTAAAAAAAAAAAAAAATTAAAAGTCCCAATATTTCCAACTTTTTAAAATTTTGGTGAAAATTTGAGAGGGAAAATAAAGTCCCTCCTTTCTTGTCAGATTTTTCCATTAAAATGCAAGGTGTATCCTACATTTTCTCTCCTAAATAATTAATCACTTTCCTTAACTTTCTCTAATCTGTGCCCCTTAACTTTTGTATCGTGAACCGCAAACCCTCTCAAAATTGCAGAAAAACATTTAAGGAGGCAATATATTTTTTGTGCTACCTCTATTTCATATTATTTGTAACGATTTGACATAAAGTAGAGAAGAATAATGTATAATCATTGTAGTCTAATAATATAAAATGGAGGTAGTATATAGGATGCAGGATGATAATCTTGTATTTTCCCATCAATTGACCTTCATATTGTATATTTTCGGTCTAAAGTCCGGTCCTGCTTGATAGTTTTGAACTACGTCTGAGCAAAACTACCCGAAAAATCGAAAACCTAAAAAACCGATCCGTAACCGTTCCGAAAATTAGGGTAACCGATCCGATAACCATAACAGTTCGGGTACCCGTTCCAATAATTTGTTATCGGGTATGGTTATGGGTATCATTTTAAAATTAACGCTTACCCGATCCGGTTCGATAAGCATATTTTTTTTTTGCTTTTTTTTCCCTACTTAAATCTATTAATATAAATCTAAACTTTTACTTTACTTCATAATATCAATGATTAGTAATATTATTAATAATTTGGTCAAGATAATATGGTATTGTTTTTAATTAGTTGTAAATTATATCATAATAACTACATAATTAAGGGGACGTTTGGTTCGCACGGGGTAATCGGAATGGAATTAACAAAGGGAAAGGAGAAGAATGGAATGAAAATACCTAAAATTTGTCATGTTGTTTGTTTTAAAAACAAAGGGAAACAATCCCACTACTCCCACCACCACACAACCACCAAAGTCATTAGCTTTCAGCCACCAAACCGGTCAACACACCTCCTCCACCGTTCGCCGCCATCCGCCAGCCTTCCCCCGTCCCTCGTCGATCCAGCAGATGTCAACCCTACCCCGACCTCCTTAGCCTAGAAAACTCTAGATTCTAATATCACTACTCACTCCCCGTGAAACCCGTCGGCCGACCCTCCCCCACCCTCGAAACCCTAGTGCCTAGGGTTTCGATGGTGGGGGAGGGTCGGTCGGCCGTTTAACGGTGAAGGAGATGTGTATTTTAGGTTTTTCGATGGTGGGTTTCGATAGTGAGGAAGACCGACGAGGGGAGGGGAGGGGAGGTGCGACGAGGGGAAGGGAGGGTAGTTGCGGCGAAGGGTGGGGTAGGTGTGGGGAGGGGAGAGGATGGGGCAGCAAAGGTCGTGGAAATCGGGGAAGGTCGAGGTGGAAATCGGGGAAGGTCGTGGAAATCGGGGTAGAGGAAGGTCGTGGATGGGACGACGAAGGTCGGGGAAGCGGCGGCGAAGGTCGGGGAAGGGGCGGCGCATGTCGGTGGATCCGTGGAGGTGCGACTGGGTGGTGGAGGTAAGGTATAAGGGTGGTGGCTAGTGTAGGTGTGGTGGTGGAGGGGTGGCTAGGGAAAGGGAATGGAAAAGTACGTCTAGGGGAGTGGGGAATGGAGTTGGAAGGATTTGGGGTAATAGAGGGGGAAAAGGAATGAAAAAAAGTGCATAACAAACAACAACAAAGGGAATCGAGCCAGTTGATTCTCCTTCCCTTTGTTGATTACCCCCAACCAAACAGCCCCTAAGTTTAATTATCATTATTGGATATCTTATTGGGTACCCGATAACCGATCCGAAAATCCGGGTACCCGAACTTATCGGTTATGGGTATCACTTTTAGTGATTTTGGTTATCAAGTACCCAAACTGTTAGTACGGTACCCGTCCCATGCTCACCCCTATTTTGAACACCCTTACGCCTTAGTAATGAACAATACTCCGTATTTATGATCCGTCGTGCTCCTATACAACTTCCTAGTTCACTGATATGTGACCACCCTGCCAATATAGCATTTGTAGTGGTGAGTAAAGCATTTAACTTGATCATTCATGCACATGCTCCTTATAATTTGAGGTTTACTTTGATTTTACTATGTTATTTGATTTGAGAAATTTAATTAAAATGTTTGCTTCACTATTACTCTAGCTTCTGTGTTTCAGGGTTCTTTGTGTTTCCTAATAAATTTCCGCAATTTCTGCAACATATAGCATACGTACGTTTGTTCTTTGAATTTACAATTCGCCATATTTTGTTCGTAGCTTCAAATTAATTTACTTCAATGCATCTTTTTATTTATTTATTTTATTTAAATGTAGTTCTTTTGTAAAATTCTTCAATTTCCAATTGCTAAATTTTTAAAATGTTTGACAATAGTATTCAATTTTCTTGGGTTTTGTTGGGGTTTACATGGAGAGTTGCTTTTGGGTTTTGTTCTATTTTATTTTATTTGGTCAAAAGTTTTAAATTTAAGTTATAATCTACAAAAATTGTAGCTTTATTAGAAGATATTTTTATTTGACCCCATTTGATACATAATTGTTAGATCATGAATTATAATGAATTAATTTATTTTTATATAATGGTCACACATTTTATTCAAATTATTTGATTTTAATTCAACCCATATGATTTGATGGAAATTTGGTTAATTAAAGCAGATTTGTTTGTGATTCATCTGAGTAGATTCTCATGGGATTCTTCAGATTTCCCTTAATTGAAGTTCTTTGTTGGCAGTTAATGTTGATTGTAAAAATCCCATATAAAATAAGTTATTGCATTGCTGTAATCTTCTTAGTCAGATTGTATTATTTTAAAGTACAATAGATGCTTTGTGTCTAGTACTTGTATTATTTTGGTGTTATCCTGAACTGATACCCAGATGCTGTTTTTCAGTTGCAGATTTTCGCGGCTTCGTTGGTGTAGTAACGGTAAACTTAGTTATTGTTTAATAATACGTGGCGAAATTATTGGTTTTGATTAAATTGCATTTGATTAATGGAGTTGGAACTTGAAGTATTTTGATTTTTGATGAGTATGTTGAATGTCTTGGTTGTGTGGATCTTTAAAATGGTTTAAAATAAGGAGAACAAAGAGCGAAAAGTGAGACATTAAAGGAAAGAATTATTAAGAAATTGAGCAGAGAAGGTGGTGTGAGTTAGGGAGTCAGATGCTTGTGGGTGTCACTGACTGTAAGAATTATTTTAGTGTTATGAATCTGTTGTTTATGTCTCCTTACTTAACTTTGTTTGCCCGGGGTTCATGGGGTTTGCCGCCGCCCAGGGAAACAGGCACTTCTTAGGTTCTCTTGTCATACAAGAGAGTCCTTTATTAAAAGTTACTCGATCTCATTTCGTTCTCTCTCTTTCCCATTCACCATTCTGGCTTAGTTTCCGCCAAGATTCGTTCTTGCTGGCTGCATATGTCCTCTCCCTTGAGATCTTTCCAAATTATCTTGAAACTAAACCTTTCTGTTAAATCTAGTTATTTGGTCCCACTCCCTGGGGAGATTAAATGTTCCATTTTCAGGAAATTTTTCTTGATTCGTGTATATGTTGCATGATTGCATACACATTTGTATAGTCTGGGAATTGATGTCCTCGGATCGATTAGTTTTCTATAGAAGATACAGCACCTTTGTGTAAAAGTAACGATAGTCCAGATCTTTACCGACCAAGATGAAGTTTATGAAACTTGGATCAAAGCCAGATACATTTCAAAGTGAAGATAAGCATGTCAGGTTAGATCTTACAGCCTAGTAGTGATATTGGTCATGATAGTAGTATTGGTGCTGTGTTCAGTTTTTATTTTTTGCTGTTTTTGGGGTAATTTATGTTCGATTTCGTTAATCGGTGTTTGTGCAATTTGTCTGACTTGCCAAGTTAAGATTAATTCTTATGATGGGAACTTCCCACCGTTTTGGACAATTTGATCATTTTAGGTGGTTGTATATTCACTTGAAAATATCCCTAGTCAAAAGTTGGGTATTTTAATTTCATCATATTGACAGTGATTTGTGTGCTGCCTTTCCACTGATCCAGACAGATTAAGCTATTTTAGTCTGTTAATTCATCTTCTGCTAGGAGAGAGAGATTTTGATTTTTGGCGATTTTAGGATCATTTCTGGTTCACCTATTTGGAGTAAACAGAGCCTTAAGGTTCTGTAGTAAGTTCTTCCCTTAAATCTTTAAAGAAAGAGATTAGGAGCATATGGCATCTAGAGAGAAATTTCAACAACTTTATTTGAAACTTTCTTAAGTTTGGATCGAAAATAAGAATAGAATTTGTTTTGGATGGAGAGAAGCAAGAAAAAACTGCTTGAATCAATCATCATTTTTATTTATAATAAACAATATATGATTGCATTGGCGAGTAATAGATATCTTGCATTCTAGCATATGAATTTGTTGGCTACTTGCGATTAAATGTTTATATATTATATGTGTTTCAATCTTTCTTTACTTTCAGTATATAAACTTGATAATGAGATAACCTATAATAGTCACTTCAACATAGGTTACTGTCATTATTTGAAGATCCCTAAGCTTTATTGGCCTTCACACCTAAATTGCTTATTTTTTCTGCTCATAAGAAGTTGATTATTCTATAAATTAAATCATCCTTCAAAATATCATTAAGGTCACATCAGCCCAAGCATTAAATTTACTGGTTTCTGATCCAATATTTGTTATCACTTCTTTTTAAATTTATTGGACTAATATCATTCGGAAAAAGGTGAACTATGGGCATGTCTTTCTTTGTCAGGCACCCACTCCGATCTCTCAAGTTATTGTTATGGACCAGTCAACTAGTTGAATAATTTCTGAATAACAGAAAATTTGATGTGTCTGCTTTGAAGTTTAATATTGCCTACTTGCATATACAAATTCGAATCACTAGCATGCATGTGGAAAGGCTTTGGTTTATTGTTCTAATTCAGATTTATGGAGTGGATGCTATGTCATATTAATTGATTTGTCTAGTGAAATAAAATAATTGGGTTCATGGTTTCTTTTGGGTTTATTAGCAGCAGTCTAATTTGGTTAAATGGGCAAATTTAAAGTAGCAGTGTTAACCTATTTGATTTTAGCTATAATTTTTCTCTGCTTGATTTTTTTATTTTATGGAGTTGACTTGGTTATTTATATCAATACATGTGTTTATGGCATGTGTAGGTATGTGGCAACAGAGCTGTCTACTGACATTGTTGTCAATGTTGGAGATGTGAAGTTTTATCTGCACAAGGTACGACTATCAAGATAAAATGGTGCTTTTCTCTGAGAATTTCAGCTCTTAGTTGTTTGTCATCAGATGAAAGGCGATCATGTTATTGTTCTGTTATTTTTTTTTTTTAATCTTTGCATTTGCGATAGTTTTTGTTCTTGCATTTCCCATTGCTACATGGCCTCGACAATTATATTATTTAATGGACTAAGTTGAACCTCCTATACCTAGGATGTTTGGGCTTCACCTTACTTATTGAAATATAGCATGGGCATGACAGGAATGTTTTCTTAGTCTTATGTTTGAATAAAAAACAAAATTGTGCTAAAAAGCACCAAAGGATTAGAGCCAATCCTGCATAACTCGTGGAATGCGCAAATCAAGTACATAACACTTCAGCTATACCGAGGTGGTTGTCTTCAATGCCTCAGGGTTTCGAAAACTCAAAAGATTACTCTGGTTCGGTAAACTTATTCAATCACCAACCCGGTGAAAAGTTGTAAGATACCATTTAAATGGATGCTAAAAGAACTTATAAATTGCTCAGTTTATCTATTCTCCAAATAGAAAATTAAATGAAATAATTAAGAAAAGAACGAAGAATTTCTTCCATTGAATTTATGTCATCAATTCACTGGACAATGACATATAACATAAAGTTTTCCCACAAATACTCATAGCTTCCTTGTATTTTTTTTTACAGTTCCCTCTCCTCTCCAAGAGTTCTCAGTTGCAAAAGTTGGTTTCAACAGCAAATGAACAGAGTAATGATGAAGTAACTATCACAGACATTCCAGGAGGGCCTGCTGCGTTTGAAATTTGTGCCAAGTTCTGTTATGGAATGGTGGTTACCTTAAATGCTCACAATGTTGTTGCTGCTCGTTGTGCGGCTGAGTACTTGGGTATGCATGAAACTATGGAGAAAGGCAACCTTGCATACAAAATTGATGCCTTCCTGAACTCTATCATCTTTCGCAGCTGGAAGGATTCTATCATAGTTCTGCAGACAACTATGTATTTGCTCCCATGGTCTGAGGATCTGAAGTTGATTAGTCACTGTGTTGAGGCTATTGCTTCCAGAGCAGTTATTGACACTTCCAAGGTGGATTGGTCCTACACATACAACCGGAAAAAGCTTCCAGAGGAAAATGGAAGTGAATCAAATTGGAATGGTGCAATGAACTATAAAGTGGTGCCAAACGATTGGTGGGTTGAGGACTTGTGCGAGCTTGAGGTTGAGTTATATAAAAGAGTTCTAGTTAGTATCAATAACAAAGGCATTGTTTGTGGTGAAGTGATTGGAGAAGCTCTAAAAGCTTATGTGTATCGACAATTGCCTGGTCTCGTCAAGGGTGTGACTAGGTCTAGTGATTTGATAAATTATCGATCCACTGTTGATACAATCATTTTTCTCCTACCTGATGAGAAAGGTTGTGTGTCGTGTAGCTTTTTGCTGAAATTGCTAAAAGCAGCCATACTAGTAGACTCTAGTGAAGTGTTGAAGAAAGAGTTGATCAAGAAAATCGGACACCAACTAGAGCAGGCCTCTGTCAGTGATCTTTTAATCAGAGCACCAGAAGGTGATTCTTTGATGTATGATGTTGACATTGTACTGAACATAGTACATGAGTTTTTCATCCGAGATCAATATTCTGAAATTGAAACACTAGAGGCAGATGAGGCTCAGGAATTTAAAAAACCTGGAATTTTGTCTGAAGCATCAAAACTAATGGTCGCCAAGTTGATTGATGGATACCTTACTGAAATAGCAAGGGATCGGAATCTGCCCGTGTCAAAGTTTGTTGAACTCACAGAGATGGTATCTACAATTTCCAGGCCTGGACACGATGGGCTATATCGTGCAATTGACATGTATCTCAAGGTAATTAATCTATATATTTAATATGCATCATTGTCAAAAATTCTTGGTTAATGCATTTCTTGTCTTTGCCTGAGTACTCAAAGTGTATTGGTGTGTGAAATTTTATGCAATAGTTCATTGCATTGATGCTATAGTGGCATAAAATAATTAATAAAAACTACAATTGCTCTGTAATTTAATAATGATAATAATCAAAAAAAGACACTACAATTATTTGGTGTAAAGATTAAGAAAATGGGTGATGGAAAAGTAAGAGTGAGTTATATAAATAGAAATTAAGTCCAAGTTTGATTGAAATGTTAGTGTGTAAATAATTTGAGACAACAAATAACGACAAATCTTTAAAAAAAAAAAAAAAAAAAAAAAAAAAAAAAAAAAAAAAAAAAAAAGATGAAGGGAGTGGATTTTTGCACATTGCTATTGCAAGTTTGCAACTGCTGTACTAGGATTCAATATCATCTCAAATTACAGTTCTTGATTTAAATTTTTTTTTTTTTGAGGAGGTTCTTGATTTAAATTTGTTACAACATAACTTGCACATTTTTTCTACATTTCAAATCCTTAATCCTGCTTGTCATAGGCTTTATTTTTACTCCAGGTTATTTTTTATAGTAGTTCTGTTGAGATTATACGTCCATTCTTCCTATACTGGTCAAAGTAGAAACTTATGTTGGGATAATTCTTATTTTAGATGATAATGGTTTCTTCAACTGGATAGAAGAATTCAGAAGAAAACTTTGTATTATAATAGATTTTAGGGGGTGAGTTGTAAGGAAAGAAATTTGAGACCCATTTTTTCTCCTCTCTGCGGTAACTTAGAAGTATCTTATTCTGTCTGTAAATGCAGGAACACCCTGAGATCAATAAGAGTGAGAGGAAGAAGATATGTAGATACATGGACTGCAAGAAGTTATCAGTCGATGCATGCATGCACGCAGTGCAAAATGAAAGGCTCCCAATGAGGGTGATTGTGCAGGTGCTTTTCTTTGAGCAGGTTCGTGCTGCAGCTACATCTGGGACCAGCACACCTGACCTGCCAAAGAGCATCAGAGACTTGAACAGTGGGTCCATGAGGAGCTCAAGGTCAACACCTAATGCAGATGAAGATTGGGACGCAGTGGCTACAGCTGAGGAATTGAAGGCCTTAAAGGGTGAGTTAGCTGCTTTGAAGTTGGAGAGGAAGAGAAGTGAGAAATTCATAGAAGGTAGACCTAGTGTTGACAAGACTGCCCTTCATAAAGTAAAGGGATTGCTCATGTCGAAGAAGATATTTTCAAAGCTTTTGTCGAACAAACATGCTAATGCTGATACAAGCGGCTCAGATTCATCAGAAACTCCCAGTACTGCAAATCCCGAATATGCAAAATCTACATCTTCTGCTAACCGAAGGATTTCAGTTTCTTAGTACATTATTGAATTATAGTTGTCTCGTTGTAAGTCTCATGAGTTCTGATCCCCCCCTCTTCTTTTGTTGTAACCCTTTCGGTTTTCTTTTGAACACATTAGATGCCTAGGATTAGTATTTTCTGCGCTTTCGAGTAAAAAGGTAATCTGCACTGCTGTAGAATGGGGAGTATTGGAGATACAACAATGATATATTAATAATTATAAATGGACAAAATGTCTATAATTTAACTTAACAAAATTACTGATTAACATTGATGATTGATCATTCAATAAATTTGTTATCTTCGATCCGTTTTACAATCCTGCATTTGAGAGCAGTATTCTTATGATAATTTCAAGCGATGTTTAACAATTTAGCATAGTTGTAGTGATATAGGTGAAATAAGGAAGAGAAACAAAGTTGTTATTTATGGCGGGAAATTCTGTTATTTTCATATTATCTCTATTTTTGTCTTTTTGTGCTTAGTTCAATTACAGTTGTATTAGGGGGAATCTTTCTGTTAGTCATGCTTTATTAGTGACCTTGGGTTGTAATTAGAAATTATGAAAAGAAATTACAACTTCTCTCTCCCTCTGTCTCTCTCTATTCTGTTATCTTCTTCTTCTTCTTCTTCTTCTTCTTCTTCTTCCTTCTTCTTCCTTTTGTTAACTGTTCGATTGAATTCTAGAGCTAAATCTTAGCTCCATTTGAGTATAAGGTCTTGTGCCTTATCAGTGGTATCAGAGCACGCTGCGCTGCACTCAAACCATTCTGGCACCTACGATGACAACTCGGGTAACTAGAATGGAAGCTCAACTAGCTGCAATGGAGAGAAGGCTGGAGTCTCAATCATCAACATCAACTCAGTTAGCTCAGCAATTTGAAGAGATGATGAAAATGATGTAGAAACTTCAGGAGAATGTAGCAGCAATTCCAAATTTTGAAGATCGATCCAGGGCACAAAAATTGGGGTATAATCCTAAACTTGAGTTCCCTAAATTTGATGGTAGTAACCCTAGGACTGGATTAAAAAATGATGTGAATACTTTGATTTATGTAAAATACCAGCTGATCAGAAAGTGGATCTGGCTTCTCTGAATATGACTGGTAAAGCAAGAAATTGGATCTCAAGCTATCTTGCTAACAGATCTAATGTAGACTGGAGTGATTTTGTAATGGATGTAAGTGCTAGATTCAAGGATGAAAGGAGGATGAATGTGGTTGAGGAATTCAATAGATTGCAACAGACTGACAACATTGAATCATATGTTGATGAGTCTGAGAACCTGAAATCAATTATGATTCAGAACAGCCTTTGTCTGCCTGAGAACTACTTGCTGGAAAACTTTATTGGGGGACTTAAACCCGGAATAAGACCTTTTGTGAGAGCCTTTAAACCTCAGAATGAAACCATGGAATATGCCAGGTTGCAGGATGAAACCATCTTAGCTAACACCCTCAAAACCATGAAAACAAACACTACATACACTAAACCCTACCAAAACAACAAACAACCTCCCTTACTTCCTACTCCACCAACACCACCCTTAACCTTAGCCAAAACAACCCTTACACCATACCAAAAACCTAAGTATGTTCCTGCAGATGTGAGAGGTGAGAAGATAGCTAAGGGACTGTGTTATTATTGTGATGCCCCTTATGATAGGAATCACAAGTGCCAGTTTAAAGAACCCCGACTCTTCACTATTGAGATTCCTTGACTAGATGAATTGGATAAAGCAGTGGTGGAATTGGAGGAACAGGACATGGAAGAGCATACTGATCCTAGAATTTCTTTGTGTGCATTGTCTTGGGGGCATAGCTTTCATACTATGAGAGTGAAGGCTATGGTAGGGAATATACCTTTACATACCTTGATTGACTCAGGAAGCACACATAATTTTCTAGATATTCACATTGCTGAAATATTAGGATGTAAAACTGAAACCATTGAAGGACAACCAGTGATGATGGCTGATGGGAATAGGCTGGTTTGCCAATCTGTCTGCAGACAGTTTTCTTGGACCATGGGAAAGCATGAATACATGACTGATGTCATGTTAATTCCCCTGGGCAGTTGTGATATGGTACTGGGAGTTCAGTGGCTGAGTACTTTGGGATCCATTTCTTGGGATTTCAAACAGCTGACTATGAAATTTCATATGAATGGTGATGAGTTAGAGCTCAGGGGTATCTAATCAAGAGGCTGAAGGTGCTAACAACCGAACCCTCTCCGAAACTGCTAGATGGAGCAGCTCAGGTTTGCTTAATGCAAGCCATTGATCTGTCAGGCCCCTCAACTCACTCTTGCTTGATGCAAGTGAGTGGCAGTGAAGATAATCACTTAGAATTGCAACAATTATTTCAACATTTTGCAGGGTTTTTTAAGGAGCCTGAGGAATTACCACCCAGTAGAGAATTGTTTGACCATAGAATTCACTTGGAGAAAGGGGCAGGAACTGTGAACATCAGACCCTATAGATATCCTTTAAAACAAAATGACATCATAGAGAAACTGGTGCAGGAAATGCTTGACAGAGGCATTATACAAACAAGCACAAGTCCCTTTGCTTCACCAGTGGTGCTTGTTGGAAAGAAGGATGTCAATTGGAGACTTTGTGTTGATTACAGGGAGCTGAACAAAAGAACAGTAAAGAACAAATTTCCAATTCCAGTATTGGAAGAACTAATTGATGAGCTATCTGGAGCAATAATTTTCAGCAAACTGGACTTGAGAGCAGGCTATCATCAACTCAAAATTCACCTAAATGATGTGTTTAAAACTGCTTTTAAAACTCATGAGGGTCATTATGAGTTTTTAGTCATGCCATTTGGCCTTACCAATTCTCCTTCTTCATTCCAAAGCTGGATGAATGCTGTGTTCAAACCCTTGTTAAGAAAATGTGTGTTGGTGTTCTTTGATGATATCTTGGTGTATAGTAGAAGCTTGGAAGAGCACTGGAAACATTTAGAAGAAGTATTCACCATAATGTCTCAGCATTCTCTTTATGCAAAAGAGAGTAAGTGCCCTTTTGTTACTTCAAAGGTTGAATAGTTAGGGCATTTTATTTCTAGAGCTGGGGTTGAGACTGACCCAAGTAAGATTGCTACTGTCAGTTCATGGCCTGTTCCATCTTCTGTGAAAGACTTGAGAAGCTTTCTTGGTCTAGCTGGGTATTACAGGAAGTTCATCAAAGGGTATGCAATCATTAGCAAACCTTTAACTGATTTTCTTAAGAAGGGTGCTTTTGAATGGTCTGATTCAGCTCAAGTTGCCTTTGAAAATTTGAAACAAGCTCTGGTCTCTGCACCTGTACTAGCTCTTCCAGATTTCTCTAAATAATTTTTTGTTGAGACTGATGCTTTAAAAACAGGCATTGGTGCTGTGTTAATGCAGAATGGACACCTTTGGCTTTCATCAGTAGGTCTCTGGGATCTAAGTGGCAGAAATTATCTGTTTATGAAAAAGAACTCTTAGCTATGGTGTTTGCAGTTCAAAAGTGGGAACAATACCTAACTGGATCCCATTTTTTGGTCAAGACAGACCAGAAGAGCTTAAAGTGGTTATTACAGCAAAAGATCTCTACCCCATTCCAACAGTTTTGGTTGTCCAAACTGATGGGGTTTGACTATGAGATACAGTTCAGAGTAGGGAAGGAGAACACTGTATTTGATGCTCTATCTAGAGTTACAGGGGCTGAAATCTTGCTCTGTGCTATTACTGTAGTAGATTCTAACTTGGTACAATGCATCACAGACAGTTACCAGTTAGATGATAACACTATGGTGATTCTGACCAAACTCAGTCAAGGAGAAGTTGTCCCTGGGTTTTCCTTGTAAGTTGCTTTGCTGAGAAAACATGGCAAAATTGTGGTGGGACCTGATGAAAACCTCAGAAAGAAGTTAATAAGTTAGCAGCATGCTTCCTTAGAGGCAGGGCATTCTAGAAGGGATCACACTCTCAAAAGGTTGCAAGCCAGTTTGTCAGGAAATGTAAAGTTTGTCAAGTCTCTAAATATGATACAGCTGCAAAACCAGGAGCTTTACAACCTTTACCAATTCCAGAACAAATATGGACTGATATTTCAATGGATTTCATCACTGGACTTCCAATGTCCATGTCTAGAAATGTGATCTTTTTTATTGTTGATAGACTGAGTAAATATGCCCACTTCATGTATTTGAAACATCCTTTTACTTCAGCTGATGTAGCTTAAGCTTACTTAGACAATGTCTTCAAACTCCTTGGATGGCCAAAAAGCATTGTAAGTGACAGGGACTCAGTCTTTCTAAGCCAATTCTGGAAAGGACTTTTTTCCTTGTATGGCACAGAATTCTTACTATCATCAGCTTATCATCCTGAGACTGATGGGCTAAGGTAGTGAATCGTTGCCTGCAGACTTATTTGAGGTGTGTTACCTGTGAAAGACCAGCTGAGTGGTGTAAGTACCTTCCTGTAGCTGAGTGGTGGTACAACACCCACTTTCATACTGCTGCAGGAATGATACCATATGAGGCAGTGTACTGCCAGCCTCCACCAGTTCATCTTCCCTACTTGCGTGGTGAATCTAACAATGAGGTGGTGGACAGGAGTATGCAGAAGAGGGAAGAAGTGATTAAACTCCTGAGAGAAAATCTAACCAAGGCTCAACACAGAATGAAGCTTCAGGCTGATAAAAAGAGGTCAGAAAGGAGTTTTATGGTGAATGATTGGGTTTGGCTAAAGTTGCAAAATTACAGGCAACAGTCTGTGCAGTATAAGGGTTGCAATAAACTTGCTTCAAGATACTTTGATTCTTTTCAGGTCACTGATGTCATTGGTAAAGTGGTTTACAGGCTAAAACTTCCTAGTTCTGCCAGAATTCACAATGTATTTCATGTCTCACAACTTAAGGCATTTCGTGGGGATCTTCCAGCTGCTGCAATTATCCCTGATATATCTGATAACTCGAGTTCTCCTCCCTTATTACCATTAGCTGTGCTGGAGAAGCGCTCATTTCAATTAGCTGGTACCAAGCACTCAGATTCTGGTTCAGTGGCAGGGTAAGCCTAGACATGAAGCTACTTGGATTGAGAAATCTGAATTTCTAGCTCAATTCCCTGGGTCAGCTCATCTCTTGCCTTGAGGACAAGTCTTTTAAAGGGGGAGGGTATGATATAGGTGTAATAAGGAAGAGAAACAAAGTTGTTATTTTTGGCGGGAAATTATGTTATTTTCATATTATCTCCATTTTTGTCTTTTTGTGCTTAGTTCAATTACAGCTGTATTAGGGGGAATCTTTCTGTTAGTCATGCTTTATTAGTGACCTTGGGTTGTAATTAGAAATTATGAAAAGAAATTACAACTTCTCTCTCTAAAACTTCCCTTCTCTCTCCCTCTGTCTCTCTCTATTCTGTTAGCTTCTTCTTCTTCCTTCTGTTAACTGGTCGATTGAATTCTAGAGCTAAATCTTAGCTCCATTTGAGTATAAGGTCTTCTGCCTTATCACGTAGCTAGATGTTTAGTTTATGTAGAGTTAATCTTGAGGAGGATTAATATATCACAATAACCTAATTCTATATTGTTTTCGTAGTAATGTATGAAATATTTGAATATTAGAAGATTGATAATATATTTATGTTGAAAGAATGTGTTCATTTATATATGAATGTATATTGATTCTAAAGGTTATTAAGTTGAAACGCTTCATGTATTACACTTTGATTACCTGTTATTAGATTATTCTTTATTTATATATTCACAATTTCACCTTTTTATGATTATTATAACTTGTTGATGATTAGAGATATGTAATTGGCAAACTTGGAAGTGTTTCATGTGTAACTAAATAAACAAAGGGATTAAGAGAATATAACCCGCTTACAGGGAGTATAATTTTGGTACAATTTAGTAACCATAATGCCAAATTTTGGTTCAATTAGTAAACAATTTGCCATTTCTCGATGAGAATACTACACTTTAGTAACCAATAATGACATAATTGCCATTTTTAACTAATTAAACAAAGGAAGATGACAATACTACAGTGCCGTAATTTCCTGATTTTGGAAACTTACAAAATTTTAAAGGTATACATTCAGAAGAATTTATGATGCAACAAGGTACAAAGGAAGAGTTGATTAAGTTCATGTGCAAAGTGCAAATATTCAAATAGTTGAAAGAAAAGTTAGTTCTCCATATTTCTTAATTATGTTTGAAGATATTCATCGCAAAGTCAAAGATCTAATCTGTGTCCAACAAAGACGAGTAAGACCCTATTGAAGTAAGAACATATGGATTATTCTCTATTGCTCAATATCTCAATCATCTCATAGTAATAAAAGAAGAGCCTTTAGCCATAATACAACTATAGTAGCGCCGCCGAAATGGTTGAAAAATCACTTAGAATAATAAGTGTAACATGGTGAATGCATGCATGATTATCTTGAAGAGGTTGAAGTTGGAAGTTATCTATCCTTAAAAGTAAAATAACATTTATCCTTAGATATTTTTGTCACATGGGATGAGTCGTATGCTGCCAAATATATCCATGAATTGTGTATAGAAGAAGATAACCCTATGTAAGTTCACCATGAATACATCAAAGATAGTAAAAGTGGCCTACAATTGATGAATGAAATGGTGGAAGATTGAGCCCCACAACAACAATCATGTAGTTTATTTTTACTGTAGCCATGATTTAAAAGAGTGTTCTTTATTTCTAACAGTGTCTTTGTAAAAAGAATGGACGAGATCCATTTCCCGTATGAGGATGAGGATCCTATATAAATTTAGTTTACCTATATAAAGGGGTTTAGATAAGAGTTGAAAGCAGGCTTCAAAAGAGTTTTTATAAAATCATCGAGAGTCCTCTAGAGAAAATTTTCACTTTAAGACAAAAATTGGTTCACCATCTCTTTTAAAGTAGAGAAAAATTTATCATGTCTTTTTACATTTTTAGTTTAAATGTTGTAATATGAGTGATATAATCTTTTCAAATTACATAAAAATTTCTTTCAGGATCGAACATTATCCTCTTGAATGTCATATCTCAAACGACTATTTAAAAGTTTCATTATGAGAGATTGTTTGATTAGAGACTATTATTTAAGGTATGAAACGAATTAGATCTGTGATGTGCCCGACTAAGAAAAAAATGGTCGAGGTTAGCTACCTTGGTAAAGCTGGAAGCTCAGAACGTCAACGACTAAGTTCAGGTTTTGGTCAAAATTAAACTCTCTGGTTAAGCATTTAATATTGTGAAATTTGGTAGACTATTGAGTTGAATGATAATTTATTTTAATATATAATTAGTAGAGTAGTGATAACTAGTACCATAAAAATTCATTAATCTAAAACAATTTAGCATCAATAGATATATTATGTTAAATGGTGCTATAAAAATTACAAAATTGCACATGAGAGGCGGGTAAGAAGGTAAACATATACTTTGAAGGGTATGATGGTCCGTGCATTATTCATAAGAGGAATCTCCTATTTTTTTTAATAAGGTAGGGACAGAGAAATGTTACAAACTAGATTAGCACTCGTGCGATGCAGGAATTAGAATAAAAAATTCAATAAAATATAAAATAATTAATAAACAAAATGTGGGTTTTTGGAAAGAGAAATATCACTAATACGCTTTTGGTTATTTGATGTTCACACCTTTTTTTTTTTTTTAAAAAAAAAAAGTCCTAAGGGACATTAAATTTCATCAATAATAGCTATACAACATCTACAATTGATAATACGATAATGAAAACAAATTCAACAAAATCAAATAGAATTAATCGGGGAAGGGCTAAGAATCCAAATACATAAATATAACAATTTGGCACATTCTCGATTCGTTGTCTCATACAACTTTTTGAGTGGATCCGTCGCCGCTTCGCAATTTGTGAGAAAGAAAATTCTTGTGTTGATTCCGTAACCTGAATCCGAGTCATAATCAATAGTAGCCCCGCACAACCAAAGACCAAATTAAACACAAATAAAACCTTGTCTTTTGAATGAGTCAGAAAAACCTTGTCTTTCGAAGGAGATCGCAAACAACCTTGTCTTTCGAATGAGATAAACACTTTCTTTCGAGGGAGGCATTATTGTAACCTAAAAAACAAATTAAAAACTTAAAAAAATAAAGATTGGGGCTTTCCACAGGTGAAATCCGATGGAAGTCCCTTTAAAATTGACAATGGAGGCTAAAATTTAGGGGAGAGAAGAGATAGAGGAGGCTAGGGTTTTTGATGTTCACACTTTTATTTATTATTAAAAATTATCATCCTGATATTGAACTTGGAAGGAAAAAAAATTTGATAAAAATAATGTCATAAGCAATTTTTGGAGGGAAAATTTTTTATTAGAAATTGACATGATGTAAGCGGTTTTTATTTTAATTATAGATATATATAGGTGATAAATTTTTTTTATTTTTTAAGGCGAGTGATAAACTTTGTTAAGTACTCCAGTAAGTAAATACGAAGTAAAATTTTTATTGGTTAAATTTCTTGGAAAAAAAGTAAACTTTCCTATTTGAACTTTTAACGGTTTTGATATGTCCAATTTATATGATATTTTACCCTCGTCCCTTGATCATAATTAATAGTGTTTTTGGATCTTTAGAGCCACTTTTATTACTAATTGGTGTTTTCTAGTGTTTTCATAGATTTGGTTGACTTTAGCAGGGATTTGCACTTTTGGAGCATTTTCCCGAGATATTATGGAGCAATTACGAGCATCGGAGAAGCACAACCAGATTCTATAGCCCAGGGCCGGTTAGAGTCATCAAACCGGTGATTAAGGGCTTGGTAAATGTGATACTGGGGCATTTGGACCGAGTATTCAAGACCCGAAGAGGAAACCCAGATTGGCCCGAAGAATTGGAGCCTAATCGTAGTCCAAATAGTGTCGCCCGACCAAAGAGGTTGGCGCCCAGAGGAGCGCCCGGCCGGGCGAGGGAAGCAAGGCTGGCGCCCGATCTCGCGCCCGGCCGGGCGCGAAGAAGTACATGTGAGGCGTGTTATTATTAAGAGACGATTAACAACATTTAAGTTTGTTTTAGTTTAGGATTCTTGCTTAGTATAAATACTTTTTCGTTAAGCGAGTTTAGGATCTTCTTTTTACTCTTTCTTAATTCTTTCTTAGATTTTCTCTCTCTACTTAGCTTTTAGATTAGTTTCTCTCTCATATACTTTGTTCTTAACTCTATTCTTAATCCCAGATTTCTTTGGTAACGATTTCTCTTCTCTTAATCTTAGTTATTTATTAAATTCCTTTGATCATGTCTTGTGTTATTGCTTTGATTAGTTTAGTTTTTATTATGTGTAAGTAGTTCTATTTCTAGGGTTTGTGGGGATCCATAAATAATATGAAGGGGTAATTTATTGTTGTTGATTATCAAAGCTAGATTAATTTCCTATTGATTGATTTAATGCTCTACGACTAGATTTGCGCAGATCTTTTATGCATGAGTTTAACAATATTGATTCGAGATTCGAAAGATGAGAATTAATGTTTAGGTCTAGTTTCAATAGGCAGGTTAATTTATAAATGGTTAAGTCGGGATTCGAGAGATGAGATTTAATACCGGTAGATTAATTGTGTGATTGTAATACGTAGCGAAAGCCTTTTATGATCTGATTAATGTATGCATTGATGATTGATTATTATGCTTTACCCTAGAATATTGTTTATTGGTGAACCTATGCCCTAGGCTTTTTATTCATTGTTTTCTCCTTATTCTTAATTTTCGTAGTTTAGTTTCCTTCGATTATTATATTTAGGTTACTTTATAATCTAGATTATATTAAGGGGCCATTTGGTTGGGGTTAATAAACAAAGGTAAAGGGAATGAACAAGCATCATTCCCTTTGTTGCTGTTTGTTTGTCACTTTTAATCGTTCCCTTTACCCATTTTTATTTTTGAGTTTACCCAAAATCAATCTAAATTGATTCCCCACCCCCCCCCCTAGACTTTTCCATTCTCTTTCCTTAGCCACCACCATGCCCACATCAGCCACCACCCTTCTACCCTATCCACAACGCACAGCCACCACCCAGCAACCTTG